TGTTCCTGGAACGCGTCACGTCGCAATCGTCGAACATAACAGTGTTTCAAGCAAATAATACACTGCAGCAACACGCAGCATAACGAAGTTAAGTGATTGCCAGAAATCCACTCAGGAGGTCCGCACAAATGTGCGCGCTAAGTTTCAAGCCATTCGATGAACCTCACAATGATTGAGGTGCCATTGAACATGACGCCTACATTTGTGCACACCAGGACTGAAAGGGCTATTCTGGCATGCAGTAAGCCACTGTTCGCTAGCAATACAGCAGAACTCACAGGAATTATTTCCTTCTCTCTCGTACACAACGGGAGACCATCCACTAATTTGCGTACCACTGCGACGATACGCTGAAGAAGAGCGGAATGGTCGCACAACAAGTAGGCGTAATGGTTGCCGCGAGCATTATTAGGCAGTCATCGAGTCTGTAGGAGAACCAGTCATCTTCGTTCTAATAAAAGAAATTGGCAGATCCCACGTACAGTGGGAATCGATGATATGCGAAGCACGAATGGGGAAGGTTGATATGTCACTGTAAAATCACCACAACGTAACGAGGTGGAGGTAAATTAAGACGTACAGAATTTCCATGTTATCATTATCATGTTTGGATGTGTTGGTTACCTTCGCCATCAATTCACGTCACGTGATGCCAAATTTAGTATATGTGGAGTTGGCGAAACGGCTGCAAGCACGCTATGAACGTGGTATGTTGTCATGTTCTTACATGGCACGCGAACCATGACTATCGTGTTTGCAACAGTCACATACATTCGTCATCTATTTATGTTACGTAACACGAATTTATTATAAAAGGAGCTAGCGAAATGGCCGTGGGGGCATCATTAAAGGCCAAATATACTGCAACGTAACGTTGACGCACGCACGCGCACGCTCGGCAGAGCGACGCTACGTTAGCGAAACGCGAGCACTTTGTAGTCTGACGCCAGGCGCGACCTGCGTGACCAGCGTCCGTCGGCGCGACGCGACGGCTACTGGTGCGAAATGCGACATGCTGCATTTCTACGTTTGTGCACAACGGGACTGAAAGGGCTATTCTGGCATGCAATAAGTGTTCGCTAGCAATACAGCAGAACTCACATGAATAATTTCCTTCCAAATCGTAGACCAACGGGAGACCATCAACCAATTTGTGTACCACTGCGACGATACGCTGAAGGTGAGCGGATTAATCGCAGATGGGCAAGCCCAGACAACACTGCGTCTGCCTCTTCGTGAGGAAGAGACGGCGCGTGCGCTGAAACGTGCAATACATTTCGACGTCAAAGCAACGGAGCGTGGCGCGTGCCTGAGATTGATTGATTGATTGATTTGTGGGGTTTAACGTCTAAAACCACCATATGTATATGAGAGACGTCGTAGTGGAGGGCTCCGAAAATTTCGACCACCTGGGGTTCTTTAACGTGCACCCAACCTGAGCACACGGGCCTACAACATTTCCGCCTTTATCGGAAATGCAGCCGCCGCCGCCGGGATTTGATCCCGTGACCTGCGGGTGAGCAGCCGAGTACCTTAGCCACTAGACCACCGCGGCGGGGCTCGCGTGCCTGCGAGTATAAGGAACAAGCGGTGCCTGGCATGGCAACGCCGGCGTCACGCGACAAAAAAAGTGCAACTGTATTGGCGCCTTCACTGAGGCTCTCACATGACATGCATCGTATGATTATCATGTTTGCACCAGTCACGTACCCTCGTCATCAATTGACGTTACGTAATACCGAATTTGGCACATGTGAAGCTAGCGCAACGGTCGTGAGCGCACCATGAGCGTGCATGTAGTCATGTTACATGACACGCATATCATCATTATCATATTTGCACTAGTCACATACCTTCGTCATCCCTTCACGTACTGTAATACCAAATTTGGTATATGTGACGCTAGCGAAACGGCGAAGAGCGCATCATGAGCGCGGTATGTTTTCATGTTGTTACATGACACGCATGTCAAGATTTTCATGTGAAGGTCTGTCGCTTGTGTTCGCCATGCAGTGATGACATACCATACCAATTTTTCAACGTGTCATGTGAACTGAACCACCGCAAGAACAGCAATTGATTGATTTGTGTGGTTTAACGTCCCAAAACCATCAAATGAATATGAGAGACGCCGTAGTGGAGGGCTCCGGAAATTTCGACCACCTGGGGTTCTTTAACGTCCACCTAAATCTTAGCACACGGGCCTACACCATTCCGCACCCATCTAAAATGCAGCCGCCGCAGTTGGGATTCGATTTCACGACCTCCGGGTCAGCAGCCGAGAGTTTTAGCCACTAGATCACCGCGGCGGGGCCGCAAGAGCAGCCAGACCATGGAATGTAAATCATGACATTCATGACATACATTACATGAATGTCATGCTATGACTTGTCAGATATGCTCTTCATACGGTCATGTTATGCCATAACAAGTTTGGTATCGATACCATTGTTCATCATCCAAAGTTCGCTAAGAAATGCTTTGCATTTAAAACTACGGATGTTATGCTTCTGCGTAAATTGCAGACGGCTCAACAAGTGCACAACGCCTGCGTTGGTGACTCTATTTACAGTATCTCACTGCTAGTTCTACGTGCATTGTACTGGTAGGTTAACAACGTGGAGAAAACTGTGCGTGTATTTCGTGCGTTGCTTGCGTTTGAACGTTATTAGTTCGGGCTCTAGCTGTGTGTGTTATTTCAAGGCGCCCTTTCTGATTCAGAAATTCGCCCAAAGTTTCGATCTGCTTGCCATTCTTTCCGTGACATCCCAATTTGTTGTAGTCAAACTCATTGGTTCGTGCTTGCGGCGAAACTGAGTTTTAAAAGCGCAGCATTTCTTAGCGAACTTCGGCGACTTCGAGCGTATCTATCTATCTATCTATCTATCTATCTATCTATCTATCTATCTATCTATCTATCCATCTATATAGCCGCCTATGGCTTTTACCTCTCCCGGTCATTTCGATTATGGTATCGGTACCAAGCTTCGAATGATATAACACGACTGTATGATGAACAAAACTGTCTCGCGATAACATCAAAATCATGACATGTGTGTCATGAATAACATGATTTGCATTTCATGGTTCTGCAGCGCTTGAGGTGATTTCGTTCACACGGCATGTTGCAAAACTGGTATGGTATGGCAAGATTGCATGGCGAACACAAGCGACAAATCGTAACATGAAAAGCATGACATGCATGTCATGTAACAACATGATCACATACCCCCTTCTTGATGCGCTCGCTGCCGTTTCGCTAGCATCACATACAACGAATTCGGTACTGCAGTACGTGAAAGAAGGAGGAAGGTATGTGACTGGTGCAAACATGACAGTCATGAGATGCGTGTCATCTAACAGCATGACTACATGCCACGCTCATGATGCGGTGGCGGCCGTTTCGCTAGCTTCACTTATACCAAATTTAGTATATTGGGATCGAATGGATGACGAAGGTATGATACTGGTGGAAACATGATAAACGTGAGATTCGTGTCATGTGAGAGAATGACTACATGCCACAGTCAAGGCGCCAACACATTTCGACGTGACGCGGAGCGCGTGCTCGCCGGCGTTCATTTCGTCGCGTCTCGCCGGCGTCGCCACGCCAGGCACCGGTCCTGCTAATACTCGCAGGCGTGCGCCGCGCTGCGTTGCTTTGGCGCATGCGCGTTTCAGAGTGTATGGCGTCCCTCCGTCACGAAAAGAGGGAGATGCAGGGTTGTCTCGGCAGTACATCGGCGCGAAATGTAGCATGTCGCATTTCGCGCTGGTTGCCTTCGGGCTGCACCGACGAACGCTGTTCGCGCCTGGCGTCAGACTATAGAGTGCTTGCGTTTTGCTAATGTATCTTCGCTGTGCCCAGCGTGTTCGCGCATCAACGCTACATAGGAGTACATCGGGCCCTTCATGATGCGCTCGCAGCCATTTTGATAGCTCCACATATACCAAATGGGGTGTTACGTGATGTCAATAGATGACGAAATATATGACTGCTGCAAACATGATAATCCTGACACGCGTGTCATGATAATTACGACATGGAAATCATGTACAGCATCATTTACCTCGTAAAGTTGTGCTGATTTGAAAGTGCCAAATCAACATTTCTCATTCGTGCTTCGCATATCATCGATTCCCGCTGTACGTGGGATCTGCCAGTTTTTTTTTTCTAGACAATTATTCGTCCAGTGTAACAGTACTTATAACCTTTCCAATAAGAAAGCAGCGCTCGTTCTGTGAGTTTCTTCCCTCTGGATTACGTCTTTTAGCATTTTTACGGACGCCTTTATTCCAAAAAATGGTTGCTCTTGAGTGTCGAGCACTTCAGGCACCAGGATATCGTTCTTCTATCTAATATGCCGTCAGAACGCTAATCGTAAAGTGGCTCCAACTGGTCATAACAAAGTTAGAAATGCTAGAAACTGTGTTGAAATAAGCGAAGAAGGTGTGATGTTTCATAACTAACAGAAATAACGAAGAAGTAATCACAATAGTTAGCCTAATATAACCAATAACGCGTTTTGAACACATTGCGCTGGCTTCTGCGGGGCGCAAGAGTGGATGCCATCACCTCGATGAGCGAATACACGCCCCTCCCCCTGGCCCCTCCTCGCCGGTGCATTAATACACGATATTCACTTTAGTAGCTGTAGAAAACGCATAGCTAAAGAGCCTTAGGAAGCACGAAGTCGATAATGTGCGGAAAAGGTAGAGGAATGTCGCACACATAAATGCTAATGTCTCTAACAAGATTTTACTTTGCCGGGGAAGCCGTGCATACTCACCTCCAACATTAGCTTGACCGATGCTTTGGTGAATGGAGCCGTGAGAACTCTATGAACGGAGATCACTGCACGCTCGTGCTACATACTTCGTCAGGTTTCACAGCAGCCGAGCTGCCATATTTTGGGGGGGAAGGGGTGGGGGTAATTCGGCAATTGGTGCACTCATCCGTTAGGAGAGTGCTTAATTACAAGCATGCATTTTATGACAACTGAAAGGAGAATGTGCCAACCATAACGCAAGGTTCAACGCAAAGCAGCTGGCACCATCTTTACTGATTTTACAACTCAACACACTCCTCTCCACCACACTCCATTCCATGATCAGGTACGTGGGGCCGCATTGCGCCTCGGGTATGCTCTTCAGTGACCAGAACGCATTCACTGTAGTCCAACCTCAACGCTGAGCGTGTCCATGGACAGCAATCCTTCACGCAGCATGCGCTGCTCGGAAACAAGCACGGCGAAGCTCACAACGCCGAGGGCTGGCCTGGAGAACCAATAACGTGGCACTGCGAGCTCTGAGGACGAGAAGCTCTTGACGAGGTGGCGATCGCCGCCAGTGCGGTCAAGCAGGCGTAGGAAGAAATCGAACTTCTTCGAGCACTTGGCCGAGTGTAGGAGCTCCAAGCCGAGCTGAACAGCTCCACCGGCCTCCTGGACAGCATGTACTCCGAGACACGCGACCAGCCTGAGAACGCAGCGAACGCTGCCTTCCCGTTCGATGCCGAACGGCCTACTGTACAGCCGTGGCTGCCCATGGCGTCCGCTCTCCTCCTGCATAAGAAAGCGTTGCTAAGAAATGACTATGCTGAGCCCGCTACTTCTAAACTACTTACAGGTTCATTTGTACCTTGTCACTTAATGCCACTAAGCCAATACTTATGACGTGGGTTCGTAAATGGCAGACTTCCTTGATATTACGCGCGTCCACATACCAAAAATGAATACAGCCCCCTCGAAACAGGGATGCACTTCGAAGCTTTTTGGAGAATTAAAGTGAGATGCCTAGGGACCTCAATGAATTGGAGGAAGAAACAATTCCATTAAAAAACAGCCGTACAAGAAAGAAATGCGAAAGCACTTGCATCGGCAGTGCTTGCATTGGATATATGCTTAGGCGTATGTCTTCAAACAACCCTGAAACAATTTTTCTCACATTTCGTCAGTGCTAGAGCATCATAAAATGTTTGAACGATAAATTGAGTGACAAACCTTGTATGATTACAGCTATGGCCAATTGTATGTTTCTTTGCTTCGCAACACTGCCTTGCCACCTTTTCTCGTCAAACGCACAGCTGTCCCCGCACAAGCAGGGCGGAGCCACGCCAACAGCAGCTAGAGCGTTTGAGATCTGCTCTGCCAGATGCCGCAACACCACTTGGATTTTATTTTTTTTTCCCTGTACACCAACAATACGCAGACGCTGAGACGTGTGTCACGCATGCGGAGAAACAAAACACACTTCAGAACAGTCCCCGATAAGTGCGAACTTAGGCAATGCTGTTGAAGCCCTCGTGGTTGACGCATAACAAGACCACAACACTCGCTGCACCGACAAACTCAGATGAATCCGCTTGCTTTACGTGCTTTACACAATCGCAGTTTCACAACTTACCAAAGACGAAATTCGCAGCGAACAATGCAGATCAGCCTATTCAACGCTTCCGTAAATAGTAACTTCGAGATAATTATAGCAACACATCTTACGCCAACATGAAGCAAGTTTGGAAGGGACACTACAACACCCTTTCGAGTAATTATGTATTGAGGCCGTAAAAAAACTTTGGTCTCACGAGTCTTAAAAATATTTTAAGGACGTCTCAGAGGGACCATGAAATATTTTAAATGCGAAGCATTTCTTAGCAAACTTCGGTGACTTTGAGCGTATCTATCTTTCTAGCCGCCTACGACTTTTAGCTCTCCTGGCCGTTTAGATATTGGTATCGATACCAAACTTGGTATGACATAGCATGACTGTATGAAGAACATATCAAATGCAAAGCATTTCTTAGCGAACTTCGGCGCCTTTGAGCGTATCTATCTAGCTATCTAGCCGCCTACGACTTCTAGCTCTCCTGGACATTTCGATAATGGTATCAATACTCAACTTGGTATGGCATAACATGGCTGTATGAAGAACATATTTAATTAGTCCTAACGTGAAAATTATTACATGTATGCCATGAATATCATGATTTGCATTTCATGGTTCTGCAGCTCTTGCAGAGGTTTCCTTCACATGGCATGTTGCAAAACTGGTATGGTATGGCAGGATTGCATGACGAACACAAGCGACATACCTTAGCATGAAAATCATGACATGCGTGTCATGTAACATGATTACATGCTACGCTCATGATGCACTCGCGGCCGTTTCGCTAGCGTCACATATACCAAATTTGGCATTACAGTACCTGAACGGATGACGAAGGTATGTGACTGAAGCAAACATGACAGTCATGAGATGCGTGTCATCTAACAGCATGACTACATGTCACGCTCATGATGAACTGGCACCCGTTTCGCTTGCTTCCCTTATACCGAATTTGGTATTACGGGACCTGAATGCTTGGCGAAGGTATGATACTGATGCAAACATGATGAACATGAGATGCGTGCTATGTAACAGCATGACCACATGCTACGCTCATGATGCGCTCGCAGCCGTCTCGCTAGCTTCACATGTAGCAAACTCCTTATTACGCGACGCGAACGGACGACATAGCTAAATGACGCATCAAAGCATGATAATCACGACATGCGTGTCATGTAACAACAAGACTACATGCCACACTCCTCATGTACCCGCGGCTGTGTCGCTAGCTTCAGATTTGCCAAATTTGGATTTACGTGATGTCAATAAATGACGAAGATATGTGACTGGTGCAAACATCAAACTTATGTCTTGTGAGAACGTGCCCACGTCGAAGCGCCAATACACTTCCACGTGACGTGGTGTGCACGTTCATTTCGTCTCGTCAAGCCGACGTTGCCACGCCAGGCGCTGGTCGTGCCATATATTGGCAGGCGCGCGCCGTGCTGCGTTGCTTTGACGCATGCGTGTTTCAGCGCGTCCGGCGTCCCTCTGTCACGAAAAGAGGGAAATGCAGTGTTGTCGGGTTAACGCATCGGAAATGCAGCATGTCGCATTTCGCGCCGCATGCCGTCGGGCCGTGCCGACGGACGCTGGTTGTGCCGGTCGCGCCTGGCGTCAGACTATAAATTGCTCACGTTTTGCCAACGTAGCGTCGCTGTTTTCAGCGTGCACGCGTGTGAATGCTACATTGGAGTAGATTCGGCCTTTCCTGATGCACTCCCGGCCCTTTTGCTATCTTGATAATCATAACACGCGTGTCATGTAAGAACATGACACCATACCACGCTCATACGTGCTCGCGGCCGTTGTGCTAGCTCCACATACACTAAACTTGGCATCACGTGACGTGAATAGACGACGAAGGTAAATGACACATTCAAACGTGATAATCATGACATAGAAGTCATACGGCATCATTTACCTTCATTTGGCAATGTTGTGCTCATTTTAAAGTGACATATCAACCTTTCTTATTCGTGCTACGCATATCATTGATTTCCACTGTATGTGGGATCTGCCATTTTTTTCAGTTTTGTCAGCGTTAGGCCTAGAGCATTACCAAACCATTCGCACCAGAAGTTTATTGACACGCCGTGTGCCAATACTGCAACGTACAATTATATCGTAGTCTCCTTCCCAATGTAGCCTGGCCTCCTCAATTCATGAGGCACGCTGGCGTCGCTGGGGATCGCAGAGGTCTTATGAGCGCGCTAGAAGATTTCCGCTTGTACCAGTATACACATTTGAGATGGCACACCAACAGCTCGCGCGCAGTCTCGCAGGCCATTACATAGTGCGTCCTGCAGCACGCACACTCTCTGGCAACAGAGACGAAGATCGCAGAGTGTTTATATTAGCTCCGACACGTGGTCCCACCATACCAGCTGATCTTACTTCCGCGCATTCTACAGCCCATGACAGCTAATCAGACCAGACTGACGGGCTCTGGCCTCGCCAGCGGCCAGAGCATGTCGCTCTGTGAATGGGCGGCTGAAAACCCGTTTCGCCGAATCGCAACGATCTCGGCCAATCTGCAGTGATTCGAAGCTTTAAAGCGTTGTAATAAACTCCATAGTTTACGCAGAGAGCTTGAATTAGTCTGTAAATAAACCTTCGTACTTCCTCTACTAGCCCAATATGTTTGTACAATATGCACCAAAACTCTTTCAGCGTCTCTTTAAGCGCCTTCTCTTTCTATTCGAACCAGCGACCGAACAGGTGCGTAGGGGTGCCAATAGGGCAAGAAGCTGTGTCCACTCATCATCGCGCATCATGACCTTCCATTGTTTAATAGTGCGACAGCAATTATATGGACACTCTCGGCTGGATTTTGCCGCCGGCGTCACCATCAGTCACGTTGTACGTATATATGTATATTGTCGCGACGTCAAGAGAGAGGTCGTACTCGAAGACGCAGAGAAAACAGCAGCGGGTCGGTCTTTTTGTTAACCGCGTGAGAGAGAGTTCCTCATCTTTCTCGTTGTTGCGTTCTGCATAAAAGCGTGCAGATGCGCGTATGCGCTGTCGCCTTCGTCTTTTTCGCGGGACGCTTGTGACATTTGCCTCCCTCCAAAAATGGCATCGTCCCGATGCGCAGCCAAGGCACTCTACTTATAAAAATGCACATATGCACCGGCACGCACAGGACAAACGAGAGTTAGCTGGACAAGTAGGGTTTCATCCGGATGACATGCACGATTTCGGGTGAGCAGTTTCGGTGACTGGAACTGCAATCGCCGTCGGGAATAACTTCGTAGTTGATGTCGTTCAATCGTCGGGTGACTCGATATGGGCCAAAGTATCGTCGTAATAGCTTTTCTGAAAGTCCGCGTCGACGTATTGGGATCCAGACCCATACCTTGTCGCCTGGTTTGTAGGTTACCAATTTATGTCGTAGGTCGTACCCTTTCGCATCTTTGTGTTGCTGGTGACAAATACGCACGCGGGCTAGCTGTCGGGCTTCTTCGGCACGCTGACCAAATTCTTCGGCGTCAGCGTGAGTGTCGTCAAACTCGTGCGGCAGCATAGCGTCCAACGTTGTAGTGACTTCGCGCCCGTGTATTAAACTAAACGGCGTCATTCCGGTAGTTTCCTGCCAGGCAGTATTATAGGCGAAGGTTACATAAGGCAAGATTTCGTCCCAGTTCTTGTGTTCTGTGTCGACATACATGCAGAGCATGTCTGCAAGGGTCTTATTAAGCCGCTCTGTTAGTCCGTTCGTTTGTGGGTGGCACGCTGTTGTTCTCCGGTGAGCTGTACCACTGAGCCTGAGAACCGACTCCAAAAGTTCTGCCACGAACGCAGTTCCTCTATCCGTGATGAGAACTGTTGGAGCACCATGCCGAAGGACAACGTTTTCTATGAAGAAATGAGCCGCTTCTGCTGCTGTGGCCCTCGGCATGGCTTTAGTTTCTGCGTAGCGAGACAAGTAATCAGTGGCGACAATGATCCATCTGTTCCCTGTGGTAGAAGTTGGGAATGGGCCCAGGAAATCCATTCCGATTTGGGCGAATGGCTTTGCTGGCACTTGAACGGAATGTAATAAGCCTGCCGGCCTGCCGGGTGGTGCTTTGCCTCTTTGACCGTCGGCACATGTTTGGACGTGATGTTTCACAGCAGCAGGTAGGTTAGGCCAGTAGTAACTGTTTTGCAGACGGGACAATGTTCGAGTGTAACC